CTTCCCCAGCAAGGAGCAGAGCTCCCACCTCTGACACCTGTATCAACAGACCAGACTGAGAGAGTGCCTCAGCAATCCTACCTGGCCAGCACCAAGGTGGGAATAAAGAAGTCCACCCTGGGTAGGAAATTCAGCCCAAAGTACTAGATACTGTCCCATGGAGAAGGAGAGGAAGGGAGAATGCCAAAGTGTGGGGAGCAGGTACCAGCCCTACCTACCAGGAACTTTTCAGGCCCAGTCAGAGCCCAAAGGGCCCCAGCCCAAGGCAGCAGCTCTTAGCCACACCTCACCTTGGCGTCAGCCCCACATCATAGCCATCATGGGCCCCACCTCAAGAGCCACATCTTCAGGGACTTCCTCTGACTTCCCCTTCCTGGATGTACCCTGGACCTACCCGAATGAACATGTCAGCTGGACCCAACTCATAACCTCAGGAGCTGTGAGCTCATTGGTCCCCCTGCCAATTTTTGCCAATGGGAGCCTCCTACTATGGTTCTGGGGCCACCCTAGAACCCACCCATCACAGGGCTGCCCAGTCTGAACCTGGCACCCTTTCACACCCCAGGAAGACTTTGGTCTGATGCCTGGGGAACATATCATCCAGGGGGGATTGTTTTCCCTCTTGGGTGCACTCTCTCTCACTCGCGTCTCCTCCCTGGGTTCTGTGAGCTAATCAGAGAGAAGGAGGGGGAGGAGGGGGTGCTGCTTGCCGTCCCCGTTATCTGCAGCAATCCACGGTGACTAATGCTCCCAGTTGGTAAAAAGGCAGTGTAATCAAAACACTTTTTTTTTAGTCCTTAAAGTTAGTCATTCTCCCAGAGTGGAGGAAAAAAAAGCCCACAGCAGGCACCATGAAATGCAAGCTGAGAGGCTTGCACTGCTGGATGGAACCATAGCATTGGCTGTGGCAGCTCTCTGCAGGTCTGGGGCTGCAAGCCTTTTCCTCTGGGCCCTTGGCTATCCTGCCTCGACACTCTCACTTGTTCTTGCTTTCCCCCAACATCTGGGCTGCCTCATCCCTGAAGGACTTCCATGCCAAATCAGGGGCTGCCCTTTTCTCTCACCCTGCCAGGTGCTGCCACCTGCTGGTCCTGAGTTCTCCAAATGGGAAGAAGCATACCAAAGCTTGCAGGATGAGGCCAAGTATTGGATCACTGTCCGGTGCCTGGTCATGTGCTGGTGCTCCCTCCACCTCCAAACTGGCCATTCAGTAGTGAATCTTTTCCTGGCTCCATCTGCCTGCTGGCCTCTGACCCCACTGTGTGTTGATAGAAGCACAGAGTGTCAGAGATGGCTAGAACCTCTAGAATCATCAAGGGGAGGTAGTAAACCATAGCCGCACAAAGCTTAAGGATCAGAGTCAGTGCCCAGGTTGGAAACTCCACTTTGCCACTTCATGTCTGCATGTCAACTCCTTCATCTGTGAAATGATCATAATATTAGTACCCACCTCACAGGATTGTGGTAAGAATCAAATGTGAACTGCTTAGAATAGTACCTGGCATGTTGTGAGCACTCAATTATTATTAACTCATAACAAAAGTAATAACAAAATAATAAAATGGAAAATATACCATCATATCCCCTTAACTTGTCCAAGGCAGACATTACTAATCAATCAAAGAACTTAGCCACAAATGGCAGAATCCCAGGCAGCCAGTAACAAACTATCTGAGTTGGCACATGGGATGACACCCATCTGCCATCCCAGATCTAACCTGTACTCTTCACATTGCAGTCAATGAAGATGAGACCCAGAGGAGAAACAAGACTCCTTCAAACAACTTGGAGGCAGAGCCAGGGTCCAGACAGGTATTTCCGGCCCTGAGTGTTGCCACCCTGGATTCTGATGCATCACTTCTTCCTCATCTTTGAGCAATCACTGTGGGCTTTTCACCGCTGGAAACTCTCATCCTGATATCCTCCATCTTCTCCTACCATTGTTCCTTCTCTAATGTTCTTTGTCCCCAACTGACCTGGGAACTCTATTGTTCTGTGGTATGTCATGAGTACTCAATTATTATTAACTTGTAATAAAAATAATAACAAAATAATGGAGTGGAAAATATTCCATCACATCCCCTTACTTGTCCAGAGCAGACATTACTAATCAATCACAGAACTTCTCCACTAATGGTGCAGAGCAAGGAGAAGCGGGGTCGTGAAACCACCTAGAAACCTTAGGGCTTGGTCTGAGTATGCTACAGGAGCTTCCCTGAGGCATCAAGGCCTTCGGGGCTGCAAGAGACCTCAGCCCACCAATTTGACCCCATCGCATTCAGTCCCTCAGCCTTAGGCTGATACTCTAATGAAGCCCATGACAGCCCAGATCCAGATTCTGGGAATCCTTACACTTCACAGATCAGAAGCTGGCATGATGAAAGAGTCAGAGCCAGTCCTAGACTTCTGTGTGGGAAAGGTTAGGAGAGAACAGGATTTGACAAGTCCAAAAAGGAAGGTCAGAGGGGAGTACCTGTTTACCAATTTCTGAGTTAAAAGCTCCAAGGAGAGGTCAGTGGCCGATGGCACTGGTAAACAGCTTTGTCCTCAAAGTAGATTTCTGCCATCTAAACACTCAATGTAAGGCTCTGACTTCTGAGGAAGAATCAGTATTTACCAGGCTTGAAACCAGGAACTTCCACCATTACCTGAAGTGTCTCCACTCTCAGCTTCTGCTTAGAAACCCACTTTTCTCTTTCTCATTCCTCCCCTGCAGGGGCAGGATCAATGTGTATTGTGCTACCCTTTGGTTATAAATATGAAAGTCATAGCTCCTGACCCTGCAGGCTGAGTTTTCTACAACAGTGGGAGGTGTTTGTGTGTCCCTGATGCTCAGCTTCCCGGGATGAATGCCACATGGCATGGCAGGCTTATGGAAGGACACAGGACAGCAGGACTCCTGACTGTTCCTTTTCAGCCCAGTGCCCCTCTAGCTGAGGGAATGAGCCACAGGTAGGGAGACCAGTCTCAGCTCAGAGCAAGCACATTCTAGACAGACTCCTGGGAAACCATTATTCTCCCCAATAACCTCAAAGGTCCTACTGGCTACATTAAAGGTTTCAGGTGGGCTGTAAACAACACAGTCCCAGAGGATTCATATTTAGCTTTATCCCAAGACATCCCTGATTCATCAACCCTGCACACTTTACCTGTTTATCTGTCTCCCTATTCTTCTATTTCCCCTGGGCCTCTAGAGTCTACAAAACAGTTGATTTGGAACCTTGAAATGTTGGAGACTTTGGCAATTTTATCTATCTACTCATCTTATAGAGATGAGACAACCAAGGCCAGAAAAAGGATGTGACTTGTCTGAGATCAATCATGGTGTCACAGATGGAACTAAAGCCTAGGACTCCTCTAGATTTAGTCCAGAACTCATTCATTCCAGTTCTACAGGATGTGTCTGCTACCCTCCAGCCCTGAAACAGACTTCCCTCAGGATATGGGGGTGGCCTAGGCTAATATTTTTGAAAGTGTTTATCACGGTGGGGCAATAACTAAGGGAGGCAGAGTATAGGGAAGGGAGGAAGCAGGTTGGAGAATCAACCACAGGTGCTAAAATGCCAGGAGGTTCACAAACACACAGCAGCCCCTTCTATCCATCACAGCCTCTGCAAAGCAGCAAGGCTTGTCCCTCTCTTCATCCCCACTTTCTCTGCTCAGCCTGCCCTTTGGTGACTTCTCCTCTTCTTTACACTTCAAGACTGCTCTTTTGCTTATTTTGGCTTGTCTCCTGAGGAACAACATGGTGATGAAGTTAATCCGTGTGATGTTCTTGGCGACCC